CTGCTTTACAATTTATCATATAGTTAAATTTCAAAAATCATACACAAGTGCTTTTTAGATATGTACCCTGCAATTGTTTGAAGCACAATACACTGTGTGGAGCTACTAGATAAAGCTGTTACTTATGTAAATCTGCTTTATCCTTACCCATTTAAAAAAAAAGTCTCATCTGACTACATCAAAATAATAAGGTCTGCACAGCAAAAAAAAAAGCAACAGAACTAAAAGACAATCTAACTGAATGACAAGATATTTGCAAATAACATGCGATAAAGGGTTACTATCCAAATTATATAAAGAATTCATACAACTCAATACCAAACCCTCCAAATAATCCAATTAAAAAATGAACAGGAGACATGAACAGACATTTCTCCAAAGACATCCAGATGCTCAACATCACTCATCACCAGGGAAATGCAGATCAAAAACACAATGAGCTATCACTTCATAACTGTCAGAATGGCTAAAATCAACAACACAAGAAACAATAAGTGTTGATAAGGATGTGGGGGAAAAAAGGAACCCTTATGCAATGCACGGTTAGTGGGAATGCAAAGTGGTACAGAAACTGAAGAACAGTATGGAATAGAACTACCTATGATCCAGCAATCGCATTACTAGCCATTTACCCAAAGAATACAATAACACTAATTCAGAAAGATATATGCACCCCTGTGGTTACATGTTTTGAGCATTATTTACAATAGTCAAATTATGGAAGCAGACCAAGTGTCCATCGACAAACAAAAAAGATGTGATACGGGATCCCTGGGTGGCGCAGCGGTTTGGCGCCTGCCTTTGGCCCAGGGCGCGATCCTGGAGACCCTGGATCGAATCCCACGTCGGGCTCCTGGTGCATGAAGCCTGCTTCTCCCTCTGCCTATGTCTCTGCCTCTCTCTCTCTCTCTCTCTCTGTGTGACTATCATAAAATAAAATAAAATAAAAAAAAAGATGTGATAGTAGATAATAATAATAGTAATAATAGAATATTACTCGGTCATAAAAAAAAAAAATGAAAGCTTTCCATTCATGACAACATGGATGGACCCAGAGGGTATAATGCTAAGTGAAATTAGTCAACCAGAAAAAGACAAATACCATATATGGAATATAAGAAAAAACCCAAACGAACAGAGTGAAAAAAGAGACAAACTAAAAAACAGACTCAATTACAGAGAACAAAATGGATGGTTACCAGAGTAGAAGTGGGTAGGTAGGTGGGGAAAGGAATGAAACAGGTGAATGGGATTAAGAGTACACTTATTATGAGCACTGAGTAATATATAGAATTTCTGAATCACTGTATTTTACACCTGAAGCTAATATAACATCGTATGTTAATTATACTGGAAAAAAAAGATTTAAATATTTCATCTACCAATTACTGAAAGCAATGTTAAAAACCTTCCACCATGATGATGGATATTTCTTCCTACAGTTCTACCAGCTTTTGCCTTATGTATTTTGAGGCTATATTAACAGATGCACACAAATATAAAATGTTACATTTCTTGTTGAATTGAATCTTTAATCATTCTGTAATGAATCTTATTTTCTCTAATGGTATTTTTGCCTTAAAGTTTATTTGCCTATTTGTATGGTATAGGCATTTTTCTACCCTTTTATTTTCAACCTTTCTGTATCTACAATTTATATGTGTCACTAGTATATGGCTTAAATTTCTCTTTTTTAAACCATTCTTACATCTTTATCTTTAGGTAAATTACCAAAGAGGGTATACTTTTTAGGAGTCAAAGATTTATGGGAGTACTGTCTACGAGATACCCTACCTTGGAATGGTCCTGTGTTTTCTATCCTGAGCTCTTCTGGGCCATAAAAATAGACGTCCAAATTCAGCAGGTTCAGCAAATTCCCTCCAATGTGAAAGCTGGCTCATCTCATCTTTTTCAGTTTTTACCCTCAGTTTTTATCTGAATTTCTTACTTTCTTGCTAGCTCATGAACACCCTTAAAAAGATTAAAAAATATTTTATTTAGATCGTTTAGTTGTTTTAAGCAGGAAGGGCAGTCCGGGCACCTAGTTATCCTAACCAATCTGTTCATCCTTCACTGACCTCACTTCATTTTCCGTTCCCTAAATGAAGGCTTACTTTTCAGCCTACTTACTATTTACGGTGTTTGATGGCATCTCCTTTAGAGACCTCATCACTTCCAATATACAGTCATCAGCATCTATCATAGTAACAACTACATGAAAACTGTCAACAAAGACTTAAATGTATAAATCCTGATGGTGGTAGGAGGATGGTGGAGGAGTGGTTTAGGGAAAACCCCATAAATGATACATACCTCCACAAGAATAATCCTGAGGCCTCCGCATCCCAGACTCACTTCTCTAAGGAGCCAAACTACTTATGACCATCTGATGAGGAACCGCCAAGGACCCACATTTTCTCTGAGATTTAGACCTACCACTAACTGCTGGATGAACATTTTCCCCGGATGCCTACCACCAGCACAAACTCAATATGCCCAAATCAAATATCATCTCTCTGTAAACTTGTTCTATCTTCAGTTTCTAAACCTCTGTGAAAGGTACTATGAGGCTTCAAGGACTCAGAAAAATCTTGGATTCATTTGTATGTAATATGTCCTTTTTTCCCCCCATATCATCACAAAATCCTTCTAGCATTCATTCTCATTAGTCTATTTCACCCATTCCATTCCTTTTCTCATCCCCAGGCCTACTGCAGTCTGCTTGTCTATGCAAGTCTATGCAGATCTAACTCCCGTTCCTGCCATATACTACTACTGTGAGGTGAACTATCCTTAAAACATTCCTTTGCATATCACCCACTCACTAAAAATCTTTACTAGGCAGTTTGACAGTGTAATAGTTTACACTGCCTACACAGAAGACTTCAACTGGTCAGTAGTGTACTTCAACACTGGCTGGAGGTAAGAAGGGAAAAAAAGAAGGCTATCAGAGAAGCTAGAGCCCCTGACCAAGCAAACAGCACACCTCCTTCTTGGCTAACGTTGACTTGTAAAATGCTGTGCCATTTTTTCATATCAGCCTTTGTCCACCCACCAAAAAGAACATATTAAAGAAGCAGAGGTCTCTTCCCTGACTTTACCCTTTAATCTCTTACTGCTTCCTCCAAGTCCTATTAGTTAGTTGCATAAATCCTCCACTCCAGTCTGACTAGTCTGTTTACTGCTCCCAGAACAGGTCTTGTTTTTCCTATACCTGTCCTGATCCTGTTCGTGATCTTGCTACTTCAACTGCCCTTGCCTATCCTAGCGGCCAGACTCTTTCATGAAGCTGTCCTCAACTACTAATGTCCTCAATCATCAGTGCTGCTGCTTTCTCTAAATGCCACAGCTTCTGTCTATGCATTAGTCAATTAGAATATGCTACTATTATAACTTACATTATCATGGACAAGTCTTTTTACCCTACCATGGGCACTATGGGACAGATGTTGAGTCTAATGCTTCGTATACCTGATATTTACAACTATATTGCATATATGATTTCCAACAAAGGCTTAAAGGTAACAATCCATTAATTTATCATTTAATATTTCTGTTTGGCTTTCTATATCTTCCATAACATGTGTGTTCCAGGAGCTCTTAGAAGCCAAGAAAATAAAATACAAAATTCTCTAATACGCACATCTCTGCTTTTAAAACTTCTCAAAGTGGTTTGAACTTATCAATACTTTGACCTCAGATTTAAACTGACTTGCATAGTGTAGATGGTGGGAAAAGCTGCACTTCTGAAGACACATGGATATACTTACTTAAAACACACATACACAGACAAACTGCACTGGTCAGACTTCTAAAGGAGTTGTAAATTGACTGATAGTATGATATCATCTAGACCCGAGTCAACTATTTTATAATCAAATGCAGAGAACAAACTCACAGCTGTTCAAATTGCTTTTTTGGATACAAACAGTAAGCAGTATTCATGAAACTGATTTTCACTGATTTAAGAGCTATGGGTAGCACCATAAAGCAGTCATTTATTTACATTCCTGTTTGCCACGCTAGCCTACAGCATTTTTAAAGAACAAAATTTGTTTATCTTTTATCCTTGGCACCAAGAATTTGCTAGGAGCTCAGGAAATGTTTACCGAGTGCATCACAGTCACAACACACAGAAGGAATCTAAACATCGATGAACATGAACATCTTGCCCTAAAACAGAATGAAAAACTTGCAAGGCTCCTTTAGGGCTTTTACTTTTTTGAGGAAGAACAGAAACCCAAACAAATATATCGTCCTAATTAAGAAAATGACCACAAGAGGCAGTTACTGAAAAAAAAACAAACAAAAACCCCCTGTGACTTATATTAGTAAGATTTAGCAATTTCTTAATTAGAAATTAGTGAGTTTGCAAGTATAAGACCGACAGCTGATCAGTATTAGCCACATTTCAAATGCTGTGCAAAGTAAAATGCATACCATCACTAAAGATAAATTTTTGTTTAGTCTGTTCAAAAATTTTACTTAGATTCCCTCATTCATTAGCTGACAAAAATATCCTAATGAAGATGTTCACAACAAAATACTGGAAGATCTTTATTCTTCACCACTTTTTATCCTGGTAAGTTACACAGAAAGAATTTGAAAAACGAATACTTTTTTTAGGAATAATGAAATTAAAGGGACGCCTGGGTGGCTCAGGGGTTGAGTGTCTACCTTTGGCTCAGGGTGTGACCCCAGGGTCCAGGGATCGAGTTCCACATCGCATGGATGCGATGTGGAACTGCATGGAGTTCCTGCATGGAGCCTGCTTCTCCCCTCTGGCTGTGTCTCTGCCTCTCTGTGTGGGTCTCATGAATAAATAAATAAAATCTTAAAAAAAAAAAAAAGTATATTAAAAAAAACTTAAATATGATGTTCAAACACATTTTCACATAGGTCTTAGAGAACTTATTAATTTCTAATTCTACTATATCCTTAGTTTTATGAAAATACAAGCTAGCTACAATAAAAATGATCCTTAAACATTTTAGTCATACCTGTTTCTGAGCTTCTACTTTTTGCTTCCTGGTTGGATCAATTGCATCTACCATCCATTTGATTGTAAAGTATGTTACTGCACCAAATATCGTCAAACGGAAAATTAAACCAACAACTTCATTCCGACTCAAAGGACGAGAAAAGGCTTCAGCATGTACCATCTTGATTAACCTTAAAAAAACAAACAGAAATGTTACTAAGTAATAACTAGATTCATTACAATTGGGAGACTGATAAACTCAGCAAGAAAAAGTAACTTTTAGTCAAATTCAACATCACTTGCCTTAAAGTGTTTTAAGGAAAAATGAACATACTAAAAACTGAGGTTTATTAGGCTTTTTAATGAACCTTATTGAAAGCTCAGATAATTTAAGTAGACAATTTTATTTGAAAAATGCAGTCAACATCTTAAGATACTTACTCTTTTACAGCTTTTAAGTAACTATTTCAGAAAATCTAAGGATCTAATGACTATACCACTAATCCAACTGAAGAAAAGGCGGCCTATCACTGAAATACTTTATTAATGCGAAGGTAAGAACTTCTCCTATTACGTACAATGTACAGCAGGTTAGTTTTTGAGTGAAATTCAAACTGAACAGACTCGCTTTCTCCTCAGGCTTACTTTTCATTTCAGGTTTTCAAGGCCTGCTTAAATGTAAACATGCCGTTTTCTCTATTAACAAGTGGCATTAAATTTTTTGGGCCACCCTATTATTTCCAACCACCCAGTTAAACATGAAGCAACAGAATCTTCAAAAATTTCTGAATCACAAGAACACAGTACTACTCGCCTAAGACCGAGAAGAAAGGAGACAGCAAGCCTATGTTTCCCTACATCTGTGAGCTGCCACGGCAGTCACATACGGGTTTGCAGAAGGCACGCACGCCCCTGTCAAAGGCAGTAACTACCCAGGAGAATAAGGGTGTTAGGGACGATGGGACTGTCACAGTTTGGAAGACAGGCTCTCAGCTTCTAACAGCAACATTATTCTCTCACAGAACTGGACTATGTGAAAAAGAGAGAGAATGTATTCTGAACTCGTGTAAAAAGGATTAACCAGAATCTGCACAGACGGCTCCGCAACAGATAAAGCGCAGAAACCAATTATCTTTTTCTTTAGTGGAGTCCTTCCACTAAAATTAGTTTCCCTTGTCCCTACTACTACTCAATTAAAGATCTTCTTCACGTCCCTCCCTCTGGAATAGCTTCAACAATTTTTAAATTCCTCTTAATTCCCTCCCTGCTTCCATTCAGGAGTATATACTTCTCCCTGATAAAAGAGACTCCAAAGCTTTCCCTTTATTTACAGGATTTCCAAGTGTCCCAGAGCATCCTAACGTAGCCCCAAAGAGTAATGTCTAAGCATTTTACTTCTCACCACTTCTCAAGAGAACTGTCAACAGCTGGAGGAGTCACCGGCATCTGACAACGCCGTGTGTATCTTCCCTCCACTGTATCTGCCTGGTACCCTGGATAGGCCATTTCTTTCCCTTCATTAGGATCAGTCAAATTCTATCCAAACTTCAAACACCACTTTCAGCGGCTCCATCGAAGCTTTTAGATCACGTTAATGCTCTATATCATCCATTTGGCCCCACTGCTGAACTTCTATAATACTCACTGTATTCAACTAGAAGTCAAATCCTTACAAACAGGATTTATATCTTCCTCCATCTTTCTGTCACACACAAGAGCAGCTATTCAGTGGCTATCTGTTCAACAGATAAACTGCAACTGCAGAAACACTTCCCACTTAATCATTCTGACGAAGCTGTCGCCAGACTGAACGATTTCCCAAAAAAAGCCAAGGGTTCCACGTTCCTACATTACCAGGGGCCACTTACTTCACAATAGTACGTTATTTAAATTACACTCAACAGCAGAATAATCAAAAGCCTTCATTTCAGATGAAGAACCTTTGACCTAGAGACATTAAGTGGTTGACCCACCCAACATGTACTTATCATGCCTCCTATAGGTTGGGCATACAATAATAGCTAAGACACAGTTATTTTCCTCAGGGCACACAAAGTGCAGTTATTATTATTATATTAATTACATCTTTACAAACAGAGCTAGGGAGGAAAATCCACCTAATTAGAGTCTCTCCTCATGCAACAAATTCAAGTGTGCTTTCATCCATCAGCGTGGAGTCCTACAGGGGAGTTAACAATACTCCACTTCTTGTGAGTAAAAAATTGACTTCTCTAGCTTTCATTGCAACAGAAAAAAATTGAAAGCGCAGCTGGAGGGCAGCCCAGGTGGCTCGGCGGTTTAGTGCCCGCCTGCGGCCCAGGGTGTGACCCCGGGGTCCGGGATCGAGTCCCACGTCGGGCTCCCTGCGTGGAGCCTGCTTCAGCCCCCGGCCTGGGTCTCTGCCTCTCTCTCTCTCTCTCTCTCTGTCTCTCATGAATACATACATAAATAAAATCTTAAAAAAAAAGTGCAGCTGTAAGATGTGATAACATTAAGCGGGGATATTACTCAAAGATGGAAATAAACCAGCAGGCAACAACCCAAGGCTCTACGAAGTTCATCTGTGAAAACCGGAGGCACGCGAGTTAAGACGCTGTCCTGTAGTTACGGAGGGGGGGTTCGCGGGGCGGGAGCCGCCATCTAGAGGAGGTCCGCCTGCCGACCCGACAGCTGGGGCGGCTTCAGCGCATCCCGGTGGCCGACGATGACAAGGTTCTGACCCCGTGAACAAAGCCTCCGCCTGGCTCCGCCGCTGGCGGGTGCCCCGGAGCACCGGCCCGTCTCCCGTCCCGTCCGAGGGCCTCGGCTCCTACCGGCGGCCTCAGGGCAGGCGCTCCGCCGTGCGCTCGCCCAGCACCCACAGGCCGGGTGGCCGACGCCGCGCATTCTGGTCCCGCCAGCGGGAAACACCAACAGGGATACGCAGCCGTGCGCGTACGAACGCGAAGGAAACGCGGCAGGAGCTCGGCGGGGCGGGGCCGCAGGTGCGGCGGACGGGACCCGAGGGGCTCGCGTCTCACCCGCGCTCCGTGTCTGGGCAGGGGGCAGGAAACGGCAGCGAGCGCACGGCGACCCGGCGAGACCCAGGCTCTCCGCCCCAGTTCACCGCAGGGTCGGAGGCAAGTGTCTCCCGACCCCGAAGGCCCGGCCCCGCAGGCAGGGAGCCCCGGGGACACGGCCGGGGACGGGTCGGGGACGGGACCGGGGACGGGATCAGGGACGGGACCGGGGACACGGCCGGGGACGAGCCCGGGGAGGGGACCGGGGACGGGACTGGGGACGGGCTCGGGGACGGGACCGGGGACACGGCCGGGGACGGGGGCCGGGGTCAGGGACGGGACCGGGGACGAGCCTGGGGTCGGGATCGGGGACGGGGCTGGGATCGGGGAAGAGCCCGGGGACGGGGCCGGGATCGGGGACGGGACCGGGGACACGGCCGGGGACGGGATCAGGGACAGCCCCGGGGACGGGCCCCGCCGGCCGCCACGGAGACCACGGCAGGCTGTGACTACGAGCACCGTCCTCCGCCAGAGCCCGCCCGGGCCGCGCCCACGGGGACTCCCGCGCCCGCCGGCACAAGCGAGGGGCCGCGCTGGGGGACCCCCAGGGCCCAGGCCCGGCCGGAAGCCAAGCCGAGGCCCGGGACGCCCTTGGAGGTGAACCCGCAGGACACCAACCAAGGGCTGCGGGAAGCCGGGCGTCGGCACCGGGGGCGGCACGGTGACCTTGCTCGCGCGGCCTCCCAGATCCCACGGAGGCATCCCGCCTCGTCCCACGAGGCCCGGGAGGAGCCCGCTACTCACCCCAGGGAGGACACTGAGGCAGCAGGAGCCGTCGGCCAGCCTCGCACCGGAAGGAAACGCCGCCTGGGAGGGAGTGCTTCCGGCGGCAGTCGCGACCCGCCCCCTCGCTCGGCGCATGCGCCGCCCGGCGCGCGGGGCGCACGTCCGGGGCGTCCGCCATGGCGGCGGGCGGCTGTGACTCTCGGTCTCCGCCCGCGGCCCTCGCCAGCGCTCTGAGCGTGGCTCCTGAGCTGGGCTCGGGGGAGGCGCCGGTCCCGGGCGGCCCCCGCGCGCTCGCGGGCTGCGGGGGCGACTTTCAGTTTCCAGGGTGAGCTCGCTCTCCTCCCGCGTCTCCGCGCCGACGGGCACCTGCGGGCGCGCCGAAACCGTGCGACAGGGCGGCGCGGCGCACCCGAGCGGGCCCGCGGGCGGGACGCCGTAGGGGGTCTGGCGCCGCGATTTGCATCTCGGGGACCCGCCTGTTTCCTGCACACCTTCCCCTCCCCGGAGGCAGCGACGGGACGTCCGTCACCCAGGAGGTCCCCAGGGAGCCGGCGCCTCCGGACGGGAAGGAGAAGCGGGGCGCTCCTCGGGGAGGCGTCGGCGCCACCTGCTCGCCGGGGGGCTGTGTGCTGCCCGCGCCGGGCCTGGGGTCGCGGTCACCGGGCGCCGCCTGCCCGCTGGGCCTCCGGCCACCCGCCGCACCCGCGCTCCAGCCGGCAGGCCTCAGAAGTCGCCACGACCTAATGCTTTTATTTGTTTGTTTGTTTATCCATCCATCCATCCATCCATCCTCAGAAGTCGCCACAATCTAATGCTTTTCTTATATTTATTTATTTATTTGTTTATCCATCCATCCTCAGAAGTTCCCACGATCTAATGCTTTTCTTTTATTTATTTATTTATCCATCCATCTATCCCTCCGTCCTCAGAAGTAGCCACGATCTAATGCTTTGCTTTTATTTATTTGTTTATCCATCCATCCTCAGAAGTCGCCACGATCTAATGCTTTCTATTTATTCATTCATTCATTCATTCATTTATGAAAGACACAGAGAGAGAGGCAGAGACACAGGCAGAGGGAGAAGCAGGCTCCATGAAGGGAGCCCGACCTAAGGTGGGACTCGATCCCAGGACTCCAGGGTCACGCCCTGGGTGGAAGGCAGATGCTCAACTGCTGAGCCACCCAGGGCATCCCCGATCTTCTGTTTTAATACATAGGAGCAAACGATGAGGCTTAGGGAGAGAAACTTTCCCGAATGTATGTACTTTAAATGGCAAGCTTCGCTGGAATCAGATTTAATACAGTACCCCCCCCCCCGCCATACATACACATACACACGTACACACCACACTTTCTCTTCCAGATAGTCATTTCACGCCAGCTGTACTTAAAGGCTTTGTTGGGATCCCTGGGTGGCGCAGCGGTTTAGCGCCTGCCTTTGGCCCAGGGCACGATCCTGTAGACCCAGGATCGAATCCCACATCAGGCTCCCGGTGCATGGAGCCTGCTTCTCCCTCTGCCTGTGTCTCTGCCTCTCTCTCTCTCTCTCTCTCTCTCTCTCTCTGTGTGTGTGACTATCATGAATAAATAATAATTTTTAAAAAAGGCTTTGTTGAAAGAAGACCATGAAATTACAAAATCTGAAGTCTTCTCAGGGCGAGGTTGGGACGGCAAGGGTGTGCAAATATCTTAAAATTGTGGATTCGTCAACGGGAATCAGGATGGAATTTAGCGCTTTGGCTGCATGATAACGAAGCTAAGTTTAAGAGAACCGGACTCCCTGTATAGAGAGGGGAGACAGAACTTTGGGAAAAACAGGATGGTTACGAGACCAGGACGATATCTACAAAACCAAAACCATGGTTTGCTGAGTTTTGGAAGAGAGTCTCTTGGTTCCCTGGGACTATCCTCGGTCTGAGTTACTACTGCTTGGGATGCTCCCGGGAACATGCATTGACAGAGCTAAAAGGTAGAGATTACTGAAGGAAGAGCTTCAGGTGGCCCACCAGGATAGGCTCACCACTAAAGAAAATGACCTGAGAAATTCAAGATGGTAGTGGATTTCCATCATTCACTGAGTGAAAGTGCAACAGTAAGACCTCACCTGCCTTATGCTAAGGACCAGAGTGACCAATCTACTCAGATTGTCTGACACTACAGAGGTTTTTGGAACATAGGATTTTGGAAGCTAAAACAGAGGAAGTCAGGCAAACCATGAGGATTTGATCCTCAATTAGGGACATGTTAAATGGATCCTAAAATGAGGTGGAAAACCCAATATCTAGTCTGTGATTCACCCAGACAATTCACGCAGACTGTGACTGTACAAGAAGTTGTTGGGTATAGTAGTCAAGACTGGCCATAATGAGTCCACATGCCCCCAAATAAATGCTGCTGCTCATTCCTTTTCCAGTGGTTTGGCTATAAACCAAGTACCTGTACATATCCCTTTTGGACTAATTTTCATTTAGCAAATTTTTTTTTTTTAATTTATGATAGTCACACACAGAGAGAGGGGCAGAGACAGAAGCAGGCTCCATGCACCAGGAGCCCGAGGTGGGATTCAATCCCGGGTCTCCAGGATCGCACCCTGGGCCAAAGGCAGGCGCCAAACCGCTGCGCCACCCAGGGATCCCATCATTTAGCAGGTCTTTAAGAAGCCTCTTATGTCTGGGTCCTCAGATATCAAATTACTGTCTTCCCACATACCATGCATGTTCATTTCCAGCTATCACTAAGTCAGCTAAGTTCTTCCAGAATAGAGCTGAGTGAACATATGTTTTTCATCCCAGGATAGCTTTATATAATTCCTGGCAGCATAAAACACCATATTTGGCCCACAGTAGGGGCTCAATAAATAATTCATGATGTATAACACTAATCAAGAAATTATAACAACAGATTTTTTTGGTAAACTTTCTGGGCCTTCCCTCTGTGATTATTAGAATCAAGATATTAAAAATAATTATTATATTTATTATAGAAAGTTGGGTTTTGGGTTTTGTTGTGTTTTTTTTTTTTCTTAATGCCTCCTAAAACAGTTTATGGTAATTCTTCCCACATGGAACTAAATTATCCTTTACATTTGTTAGTTGTATGGGAGTGTGATTAATTTACTCTGCAGCCAAGGTGAATTTTGTGTTGGACCCTGAAGGGGAAGGGATTCCTTAGATTAGGGGTTCTCAGATTTCACTGTGGGTCCGTTCACTTGGGACAGGTTGGCAAAATGCAGATTCCTAGGCTATAGCCTTCGAAGCTCCCATTTAACCGCTTTAGGCTTTAATCCAGAGATTTGAATTTTGAATAAGCATCTGAGATGATTTGGATATAGGTCATTTGGGATCATACTTTGAGAAACTTCCCTAGTCGGTGATGATATTAGATGTATTTTTGTAAAAATCTCATGTCTCAGCCCCAAAAGCCTATCTGGTCAGCCAAATCATTAAGTCAGCTGATATATACCAAAAAATCAAGGCAAGGAAATCTCATGATAAGATTCAGAATAAAATCTCTTTGAAAGGAGAAACAAATCTGAAATTTTTGATTAAGTAGACACACCAAACCTGAACCTATTTGTTGCTCATTAGAAATGATTGTCTTGACAGTGATTTGGAAAGAGCAGAACTTCAACAAATAATGTAGAATCACATAGCAGTAATTATGCCAGTATGATAGTCACTCAGAAGCCTTGTTTCTTTTAAAAATATTTCATCAGAAAGAATAATCTTCATTATTATTTTGACAAGTTAAATAGGATGGTTGGAGAAAAAAGCAAAACAAGAATATGAAGCTGTACCTGCAGTCATAAAAGCACGGAGAAAGAGATTTAAGTGCTTGAAGCTCCAATGGAAAGAATAAGATGGAATCAAGGCAAAAATCATGGAAAATTAACATTTTGGCTGAATGGGAAGAGTCGAAAGATGAATTGATAGTTCCGTTCTATAAAAAGTACAGAGACCTAACAGATGCAATAGCAAAGTTCAAAGAACATGTTGTAAATTTACTTTTCATGCTTTTACATTTTAGAATTTTATACATAATTTAAAACGTGTGCATATGTAATTTTATATTGTTATCCGCATAGCACGAAGCCACAATCTTACATTGCTTTATAATCCTTCTTAAGCATGACTGCCAGTTGGACTTCTTTTTTTTTTTTTTACAGTTTATGCTAGCAATAAACATCACCTAGAACTTGGATATTTATTTTAAATCCACAGTGCTTTGTTTTTTGGCTTTAATGCGGCACTGAAATTATACTGCTCAAATGATACTATCTGGGGAAAGTCAGGACTGATTAAAACGGAATTGCTTGGGAAGAAGGCTAACCTCACTACAGACTCATCAGTAGAAGTTTTAAAGCATAGATGAAAGAGTAATTTCCCTAGGATTCATTTAGGATCTAAATAAATACTCTTCCAGATGCTTTTTTTCAATGGGAGAGGGGATGTGAGGGATTGAGTGAGAATGACAAAGATATGAATTCATCAGCCAAAACTGAAGAAACAGTAGTTGAAACATTAATTCTCAATTTCTGTAACAGCAGATTGATAGATGAAGCATAAAACAAGACCAGATGCTGTGGTTTCCAGGATGCACTTGGCTTCCCATCCTTTATAACCTGGAGCATTTATTGCTGTAAGTAGGTCACTTGCTTGCTCTCATTTACCTGATTCTAGGAAAATGCCCTTGAAAGTATTTGGAAAAGAATGTATGCTGGTGCTTAACATTTTAGAAATGAAGATTGCATAAAATCTCTCCTTTTCCCCCCTCATTTCTCTATAGTCTGAATAAGTTATAGCCCTGAAACATATGTGAAACTAAAATGGATGGGAAGAATTTGAAATCTCTTATTTTCTAAGCACAAAAACACTAAACACTAATCCATTTTGTTAGCCCCCATAATTCACTCTACTTAGCACTGACACAGTATTCATCTCACAGAATTCTAATTGGGGTTTAAGTTCTTGTATTCTCTTATCAGATGTGAACTTCTTGAGACAAGAGAGGATGCCTAGGACATAGGAGGGGCTTAACAAGTGCTTCTTTAAAATTTATTTATTGAAGT